GCTGGACCCACCAGCAGCCCTCGGAAGTGGCGACTGTTTCGCAGATCGCAGCCCCCCCCAGGGGCGGCGAGGTCTCGCGGGTGACAGGAGCCGGGGGCAGAAGGCGGGAGGCGGGAGGCGGGAGGGAGGACGCGCGAGCAGTGCTCCATTCAAAACGACTGCCCAACCAAGGAGGGGTGGGAATAAAGAAGCCATGCTTTCATTGGTGGGCGACACGAGCATGTGCAGCCATGCCCCGGCAGCAGGCGGCGGTGTTGATGCCCACGCTCACCATGTTGCCTCGAGTAGGGGAACATTATCCCGGCAAAGCAACCTAACAGCGATGTGTATAAGCATATCTGGAAGCATTCCCCTTAAGATTCAGGTGATAATCCAGTTGTAGAATTCTGCTGTTCTCGCAGTCGCAGTCCCATTCGCAATGACAGTCGCAGTGGCAACGGCCTTAGGATCCAATGGAACCCTAAGGATTCCTAAGGATTCCTGAGGATGCTGCTTAACTATGCCTACGGATTCCTAAGGATGCCTACGGATTCCTAAGGATTCCTAGGGATTCCTGAGGATTCCTATGGATTCCTACGGATGCCTCAACCTGCCTCAGTTTCAGCCTCAGCCTCAGCCTGCCTCGGCTTGCCTCAGCCTCAGCCTCAGCCTGCCTCGGCCTCAGCCTCAGCCTGCCTCAGCCTCAGCCTCAGCCTGCCTCGCCTCAGCCTGCGTCAGCCTCAGCCTCAGCCTCAGCCTCAGCCTCAGCCTCCTCGGCTTGCATCAGCCTCAGCCTCAGCCTCAGCCTGCCTCAGCCTCCGCCTGCCTCAGCCTCAGCCTGCCTCAGCCTCCCCTCCTCCCCCCCCCCTTCCCCCCCCATTCAGCCTCACCTTGTCTCAGCTTCGGCCTGCCTCGGCCTCATCCTCAGCCTCAGCCTCAGTCTCAGCCTCAGCCTGTCTCGGCCTGAGCCTGCCTCGGCCTCAGCCTCAGCCTGCCTCAGCCTCAGCCTGCCTCAGCCTCAGCCTCAGCCTCAGCCTCAGCCTCAGCCTCAGCCTCAGCCTCGGCCCCAGCCTCAGCCTGCCTCAGCCTCAGCCTCAGCCTCCTCAGCCTGACGCAGCCTCAGCCTCAGCCTCAGACTCAGCCTCAGCCTGCCTCGCCTCAGCTCAAGCCTCAGCCTCAGCATCAGCCTGCCTCGGCGTGCCTCAGCCTCAGCCTCAGCCTGCCTCGGCCTCAGCCTGCCTCGGCCTCAGCCTGCCTCAGCACGGGCATTCAAAATATGGCACAGGACTAGTGTTCTGGGAACACGAAGATCACGAAGTGGCCCACAGTTGGCTCCGGGCAATCAAAATATGGTGCAGGAATGGTGTTCTGGGAGCACGAATAACACGAAGTGGCCTACAGTTGGCTCCGGGCATTCAATTAGCCTGGGAATTGTGTTTTGGGAACACGAAGAACAAGAAATGATCTACACTTGGCTCCGGGCATTCAAAATGTGGCCTGGGAATGGTGTTCTGGGAAAACGAAGAACACAAAGTGGCCTACAGTTGGCTCCGGGCATTCAAAATGTGGCCTGGGAATGGTGTTCTGGGAAAACGAAGAACACAAAGTGGCCTACAGTTGGCTCCGGGCATTCAAAATGTGGCCTGGGAGTGGTGTTCTGGGGGCACGAAGAACACGAAGTGGCCTACAGGTGGCTCCGGGCATTCAAACTATGGCCTGGGAGTGGTGTTCTGTTGGCTCCGGGCAGTCAAAATGTAGCTCCTGGCAGTGAAAATGGGGAGTCCCCGGATTCCCGCGGCACCCGTCCGGCATCTGCCCAGACTTTCCTGGGGAGTCATGATGTTCTCTTTTGAGACCACTAGGAACCTATCAGTCTTCGTTGTTAGGGGTCCGCGCGGATTTCTCGGATCGGCGCTGGGGCCCCCCAGCGGCGCCTCCGGCGCCGCTCCTGGCGCGCTCCGCACGCCAGGAGGGCGAGGAGGGCGAGGAGGAGGAGGAGGAGGAGGAGGGCGAGGAGGAGGAGGAGGAGGAGGAGGAGGAGGAGGAGGAGGGAGATAACCCCCTCCCCCTCCAACTCATGGTGGTGGTGGTGGTGGTGGAACACAGGCCCATCAGCATGCAGCAGGCCGCCGCCAGCCTCCCGCGAGGCCCGCGCAGCCGCCGCCGCGCCGCCCGCCGCGGCCGAGGCCGCGGCGGCCGAGGCGGCCGCCCCGCAGACGGCGTGCGGCCCCGAGGAGGGGCCCGCCGGCGCAGCCGCGGGCGCGGCGGTGCCGCGGCCATGCCCCGCAGGGGCAGCGATACAGTCAACGCGCCCAGTATCACCAGCCTCGAACTGAGCCCCATCCCTGAGGGTGACACGCCCAAGGGCGGTGGCAGTCTCCGGGACGCACCCTTCAAGAAACTGAGGGGATCCCTCAGATCGGCATCGTGGTGAGGATGTGCCAGGCGGGTGATAGCACGGACGCGCGCCGTCATCCAGGGGTGCCCTTGCGGCCTTGCCTCTGCGGTCCGTCCTTTTTGTTGCCGTGTTCAAGGGGGCGCCAGCCGCCCAGGAGTTCCAGCCTCGTCCTCCACGGTCTTGCGTCTCGGGCCGGAAGAAAGGGGGGGATTGGGAAAGGGAGAGTTACGAAATTTGTTGCATGCAGCTGGTTTCGGCCTCACCGAGGGGCCCATTCCTCGATACATATCCGCCTCCGGCGCCAGGAGGCGCCCGGAAAATCAGCTACGTGAGCTGATTCTCAAACCCCCCTTTGCTATCCCCCCCTTGCGCCCGACCCGAGCGTCCTTGCCACCCATCCTCAATGCACGCTCTGACTGCAAGGGGTGGGGTGGGGTGGTGTACCCCGGGGGGGCGAGAAGCCGGGTGCGGCCTCTTCGGGCGCGGGGTTCGGGGTGTGCGGGCGGCCTCTCGAAGCCAGCCTCGGCGGCTTTCCAGCCTCTTCCTCCACGGTCTCGCGTCCTTGCCACCAGCCCTCGAGACACGCTCTGACCGTAGGGGGGGGGGTCTACTCACGGGGGGGAGAAGCCGGGTGCAGCCTCTCGTCGGGCGCGGGGTGCGGGGCGTGCGGGCGGTCTCTCTCTCTCGAAGCCTGCCTCTCGGCGGCTCTGCCAGCCTCGGGGTGTGAGCTGCAGCAGCTGCGCCGCCTCTCCGAGTGCGCTTGGCGGGGGGGGGGGAGGCGGGATCGACCCGAGCAGCCACTGGATAGCCGAGGTTCGATGTCTGTTCATGGGAGCCTTGGTCGGCGACATTGAAATCAGCTGTTCCTGCATGTGGACAGCGTGGGGGCCTCATTTGGCCCATCCTCCTGTTCCTCCTCTCCCCTCCCGTTCCCCCTCCGCCTCCTCGTTCTCTTAGCCCCCACGAATCCAATCCTAGTCTGGTCCAAATCCGGTCCAAATGTGTTCCAAATCCGGTCCAAATCAGGCCCAAATTGGACAGTGCCGGGGGCCACGCAGGTTCCCATGGAACGGACACCAAAGGGGGGGGGCGGGATCGTCCCGAGCAGGCACCGGATAGCCGAGGTATTATGGCCGGAAGATATCAGGGGGAAAAAAACACGCAGACACAATTCATTCATCGTCGACTCCCAGGAAAAGATGGGAGGATCTGGGAAGTGCTGGGGGGAAGACGAACACGTCCAGAGAATAATTATGGGTGGGGAACTGTCGGGCATGCTGTGATCTGTGTGTATGAATGTTTGTGAGTGTGTGTGTGTGTGTGTGTGTGTGTGTGTCCGTAGGCCTCTTCAAGACCAGGGGGCAACGTGGGGGGGGGGGGGGGCGCTCACGAGGGAGCGCATCGACCCCCTGCCAGCCGCCCAGGGATCGCCGAGGGGCCTGCTGGCCCCACCCCGGGCAGGGGCGTGCGGGCTCGCTGCAGTCATGGGGGGCGGAGAAGAGGGGGGTGATGACTGATTAGGGGGGGGGGATATCCTGGCGGGGGCCATGATATTTCCCCTGATTTCATGGCGCCCCTTCTTATTTCAGTACGTCCCTGGCCCCCCCGCTGGGCCGCGCACGTGCCGCCGGTCATGATTTGCACCCCCCCCTCTTGGACGCCCCCCTCTTGGCCGCTCCCGAAGGCAGGCCGCACGGCAAGGGGGGGCAACCTTCCCAAGGGTTACGTCGGGCTTGTCCCTCTACGGGGGATACTCAGACACAGTAAAAACATGGCCTGGGGACGATGTCTTGACCACTTTTGAATGGTTTAGGGCATTTATTAAAGAGTATTTCTTATTTTTCGTCCAAAATCCCCCTGTAGGGGGACATGCCCGACTTAACCCAAGGGTGCCCTTGCATCCTTGCCTCCTCGGTCCCTCCTCGGCCACTCTCGCTGGCCGCGCCCCGCTCGAGAGGTCTTGAGATGGGCGGCCAAGGCCCCTGCTTCCTTGTTGCGCCTCCTTTTGACACGGGCCGGCTGTATCGGTTGCCCACAGATCTGGCGGCTTCCTCCTCCTGATGCAGCGCCGATTCCATGTCGATGTTCCCTCCCACCCTGGGCCAGTCTCTCCCTATCGTTGCCCTTCCGCCCCATGCTTCTCGGGGGCTACCCGGCGGCGTGATTGACAACCCCGCGTGGCGAGTCAGTGGCTTCCAAGACGAGACAGGGCGGTCCAAGATGAATTCAAGACGACTAGGCCTTCCAGATGGAGTTGGAGGATCGCCGCCGCATCGCCGGTGCATCGGCGATGCATCGGCGATGCGGCTCGATGTGGGGCCCAATTTTCTCCACGCCGACGTCGCGGATGCATCGCCGACGTCGCCAGTGCATGGCCGATGCATCGGCCATGCATCGCCGATGCATCGCCGATGTTTCGGCGATGCGGCGAGATCCTCTGACCCAATCTACTCGGAGGCCTCTAAGGCGGCCTCCGCTGTGCCCGTTCACTGTGTCTGGGCTGCTCGCCTCTTGTGTTCCGATGTTCGAAGTCACCCAAACGGTTTGGTGAACACACCGCTGGGTGAGTCAGTGGGGATTCGGGGTCATCGCACGGTTTTAGGACTCGGGTCGTTCTCCGAGGGCTGTGAAGTCGGGTCGGGCGAGGCGGCTCCCAGACGGCAGCGCTGGCGCATCCGCAGCCCGCCTTTTGCCTCGATCCAGGCCCGTGCGGCTTCAGGACTTCTCGCCCGTCGTTGCTCGAGCCGCCGCCTGTCCTGCAATGGCGGACCAGCTGACCGAGGAGCAGATCGCGGAGTTCAAGGAGGCGTTCTCCCTCTTCGACAAGGATCAAGCAGTGGCGAAGCGTCCCGGTTCGCCCATAGGCCTACCAAATATTGTTATAAGAACCTTCTGTGGTTTCCACGAAATGTTCTCAGAACATTTCTGGCTGGGACTGTCTTGTTTTAACACATCGGGTTTATGTTCTAAGACCATTTGATTGTTACAACATTTCCGGGTTCTAAGAACATGTCGTGGTAGGCCTATAGGAATGCGGGGACGGTCGGTCCCTGCTCAAAAGGACGGGGACGGCACCATCACCACGAAGGAGCTGGGCACCGTGATGCGCTCGCTGGGGCAGAACCCCACCGAGGCCGAGCTGCAGGACATGATCAACGAGGTGGACGCGGACGGGAACGGAACGATCGACTTTCCTGAGTTCTTGTCCCTGATGGCGCGCAAGATGAAGGACACAGACACCGAGGAGGAGCTGATCGAGGCCTTCAAGGTGTTCGACCGCGACGGCAACGGCTTCATCAGTGCCGCGGAGCTGCGCCACGTGATCGCAGGCGCCTGCGGCGAATCACCGCCGCTGCGCTGCTGGTGAAGATTTTGCGGCCTAGAGATGGGCAATCAGCTTTGACCATGTGTTGTTTTTGTGGCTCCCTCCCAGAACTTGCAGAAACGCCTCGGGGAACATGCTGGTCGTTGGACTCTTTTTGGGCGCCGTGGGCCAGCCAGATCAGGAGGGGCTCGGGGGCCTGCCGTGGTCATCTGCGGGCCACCTCGGCCTGTCTTGTGGGTCTCGGGGACCATGTCGAGAGCATCCTGTGGCCATTTTGACGCTGCATGTTCAAACTCATGGGAGGGATTGTACTAGTGGAACCAGTAGTACACACTCGAGATCGTAAAGTAACCATGTGCTACGACATCTGAGTTTCGGCGCTCCGGCGCCCCCGCCGAGCTCTTAGAGGGCCGCCCCCCGGGGCGCACATCGGCGCCTGTCCTGTCCTGTGGCCATCTTGATCTCGTCGTCGGACCTCTGGAGGCAGTCTGGACCATCTCGCTCGGGGGCCTTCTCGGCCGCAGGCCACCTTGGCGGCCTTTGCGGACCCTGTTCGGCCTTCTCGGGAGCCTCCAGGGGACCTCCAGAAGGCCTCGTGGGCAATCTCGGCCGTCACTTCGGCCAACTGGGGACCATTTGGGAGCCAAACTGGACCGTCTGAGAGACTCCTTAACAGCCGTCTCGGGTCGTGTGGTAGCTTTCTTCGGCCCTCTTGGCCCCCTCTTGTGCCTCTGGAGGCTTTTCGGGGCTGACATCCTTGGAGGGTCCGTTTCAAGGGGCGCCCCCACGACCTCGGGGATACTTGAACGAACACGTATGCTACCTCATGAGCAGCTTGTGCCGCGCAGCTTGTTTGTCTCCACCCGGGGGGCCGGCCGATGACCAACCTCGGAGAGAAGCTCACCGACGAAGAGGTTGACGAGATGATCCGCGAGGCCGACGTCGATGGTGACGGCCAGATCAACTACGAGGAATTTGTGAAGATGATGATGGCAAAGTGAGGTGCTGCCGCTGTTTTGCGGCAGGTCCTCTGATGTGATGACCGCTCGGCCACCGTCGAATTCAAATATCATGGATCGCGCTGTCAAGCTGTAGACCCCGCCTCGAACCCAGAGGTAAAATCAGCACAAAGGCTTCGAAGACGTCCTATCCACCCGTCTGGTAGGGCGACGAGGAGGAGGTATCCATAGCATGGTGGAGTAGGAGGAGGAGGCTGAGGATGAGGAGGGGAAGGGGAAGGGGAAGGGGAAGGGGAAGGAGAAGGGGAAGGACGATGATGAGCCTGAGGGGCTGGCCGATGATGTGGGTAGGGAGGGGGATGGCGAGCAGAAGGAAGATGAGGAGAAGGACGACGAGGGCCGCCGGACTGTGTCGCACCCCGCTGCTGCGGATAAGAGTAAGGGGTCGGCGGGGACGTCGGCAGTCTGCGAGGCTCTCAAGGAGCTTGCCGCAAGCTCTTAACGTTCACACATTCTTCCGGAGGGACGCCCAGGCCGCCTGGGGAGCCCTCTGGGGCTCGTCTTGGGCTCGTCTTGGGGGGTTCGCGGGGGGGATGACAACAACAGCGCAACAACAACAATGAGGATCCGCGCCGCGGAGTCCCACTTCGGCCACGCACCCAGGGACAGCGAAGGACCGTGCGGCCCCCTCACTCCGATATGGGCTTGCTGCGCGCCAGCCTGCGACCGCGTGGCCGAAGAGGACCTTGACGGCGGGCGGATGAGGAGGAGGATGAGGAGGAGGATGCAGTCCCGGACCTTCCCTCGGGGCCCTTGGTCGTAGGTCCGCTCGGGGCAGACGGTTGCACGATCTCGCCTATGTCACCATATGGTATCTCGCCTACGCTAGTATGGCAGGCTGTCTCCGGGCACGGTTTTGTTCTAGCGGTCTTGCCTTGCGACGCTTTGTCCCCCATCGCCGACCGCTGGTCCAGATTGCGTTGCGAATTCAGGAATGGTGCTTGGCGCAGAGAGGGGGATGGTCAAATTCTTGAAGCCTCGCGTGCTCTCATCAGCAAATCCAGACACGATTCCCAGGCGAGCGGCCCTGATGAGGGCTGTGCAGCATCACGCCTTGGCGCCAAGATGTGAGGCCGGAGTGGTCAGCCGTTGCAGTCTAAGGGGCGATTCGATGATCCAGGGTCGCCGTCTCTCCCACCCAATGCTCATGTGATCCGCACCCCCCCGCCGATACCCCTCCCTGTGGGTGTGGCGTGCGTGGTGCTGTTGGTGTAACGTGGCGCTGCAGTGCAATCCTCCCGCTCCCTCTCTGTATGTGTGTTCGAGGCCTCGTAGATGGGGTCGGAGTAGATGGGGTCGGAGGATCGCACATCATAGCCGATGCATCGCCGATGCGGCTCGATGTGCGGCCCGTATTTCCCCACGCTAACGACTTCGATGCATCTCGCCGACGTCGCCGATGCATCGCCGATGCACCGCCGATGCATAGGCGATGCATTGGCGATGCGGCGCGATCCTTCGACCCCATCCATTCCGACCCCAGCTAGGAGGCCTCAAGTGTGTGCTGCGGTGATGACGGAGCGGGACGCTCCAGCCTCCCAGCCCTCTGGGATGGGGCCTCCGGGAGATGTCGAGGGGGGGTTGGGCTCGTGAATCCTCGACACCGGATTTCGGGAGCATGTACACCGTCGCTGATTTTCCGGAGGAGGAGAGGGAGAAGAAGGAGGAGGGAGGCGAGCGATGATGAGGGATGAGGAGGAGGACGAGGAGGACGACAAGCAGAAGGAAAGAGGAAGGTGTCGGGACGCCTTCACACGACGTCACGAATATGTTGGTGAACGCCGGGTGAGAGGAGGAATGCAGGGAAGATGAAGAGGAGGGTGAGGAGGGAGGAGCAGGAACACGTGGAGGACGGCGAGGAGATGGGTATATATATATATATATATATATATAAGTCGAGGAGAAGGAGGGAGGAGGCGGAGCGGAGGAGGAGGAGGAGGAGGAGGAGGGGGAGGGGGAGGAGGAGGAGGAGGAGAAGGAGGAGGAGGAGGAGGAGGAGGAGGAGGTGGAGGAGGACGGGGGAGGAATAAGGCGACGACGACGACGACGGCATGAGTCAACCAAAAGGTATTCGCTGGGAAGCTTCTTGGTTGCCTCCTCGAGCCATGTTGGGGCCGTCCTCGGCTCGTCGGGCAACTCTGGAAGTTGTGGAAGCCCATCGGGAGTCTCTGTGGCACGCTCTTGAGAGCCTCGGGTGACCTCTTCGGGCCTTAAGGCCATCTGTCGAAGAAGGGAGGGGGACGCCCATTATCTTATCTTGGAACGCTCGGGTGCTCGTTGGCGCTCTTGGAGCCGTCTTTGGGTCCCTCTTGCAGCTGTCTTGGACGATCCTGGAGCCATCTTGGGGCATTCCGATGTCGGAGGATATGGAGGAGGAGGAGGCGGAGGAGGAGGAGGCGGAGGAGGAGGAGGAGGAGGAGGAGGAGGAGGACGCGGGGTGGGGGAGGAGGCAGGCGGGGAGGAGGAGGCGGAGGAGGAGGAAGAGATGCGTGGAGGCGGAGGAGGAGGAGGAGCAGGAGGAGGAGGAGGAGGAGGACGAGGACGAGGAGGCGGAGGAGGAGGAGGCGGAGAAGAGAGGATGAGGAGGAGCAGGAGGAGGAGGAGGAGGAGGAGGAGGAGGGGGAGGGGGAGGAGGAGGAGGAGGAGGAGGAGGACGAGCACGAGGACGAGGAGGAGGAGGAGGAGGAGGCGGATTTCGGGAAAGGAGGACGGGGAGTAGGAGCAGGAAGGCGCCCCCGCCTGCGACTGCCCGCGCTCCAGCGGCCGCACCTGAGGCGACGGCGACGGCGGCGGCGGCGGCGGCGACGACGCAGAGATCAACCAAGGCGAGGCGGCTGCGATGACGGCTGCACTCGGCATCGCTCGGACGTGTGCCTTTTTCCTTCGGCGCGGGCCATCGAGGAGCATCCTTGATCATTTGGCGAAAAAAACACGCACGAAACCGAACAAAAGCACAGGGAATGGACGTCCCAGCGATGGCGAGTGCAGCGGCGACGACGACGACAAGAGCCAGCCCGCGTCAGCTTCCACCGCATAGCTTGCGCCCCGCGGGCTGCGCCACGTCGCCTTCTGCCCCGAGGTGGCCGGCGGGTCCTTCCCAGGGGAGAGGAGGAGGAGGCAGGAGCGTTCCAGACTCTGGGCGCCGTGGCAAAGAGGCAGAGAGCAGCTGGGCATGCAGGCAGTGTAGGGCAGGGTCTGGGGAGGCGGCTGCTCAGCTCCTAGAGAAGGCGCCAGTTCGGACGCTTCTGCAGCCCATCTTGCCTCGTGCCAGCCCGCTCTGAGTCCCGTGCGGTCCTGAGATTCGCCGCCGTCTGTCCTGCAATGGCGGACCAGCTGACCGAGGAGCAGATCGCGGAGTTCAAGGAGGCGTTCTCCCTCTTCGATAAGGATCAAGCAGTGGCGAAGCGTCCTGGTGCTCCGATAGGTCTACCGAAGAATGTTCTGAGAACCTTTTGTGGTTTCCACGAAATGTTCTCAGAACATTTCTGGCTGTGACCGTCTTGTTTTAACACATCGGGTTTATGTTCTAAGACCATGGCTTTCGTTGTTAGAGCATTTCTGGGATTCTGGGATCTAAGAACATGTCGCGGTAGGCCTGTAGGAATGCGGGGACGGTCGGCCCCTGCTCAAAAGGACGGGGACGGCACCATCACCACGAAGGAGCTGGGCACCGTGATGCGCTCGCTGGGGCAGAACCCCACCGAGGCCGAGCTGCAGGACATGATCAACGAGGTGGACGCGGACGGGAACGGTACGATCGATTTCCCTGAGTTCTTGTCCTTGATGGCGCGCAAGATGAAGGACACCGACACCGAGGAGGAGCTGATCGAGGCCTTCAAGGTGTTCGACCGCGACGGCAACGGCTTCATCAGTGCCGCGGAGCTGCGCCACGTGATCGCAGGCGCCTGCGGCGAGTCGCCGCCGCACCCTGCCTTTTTGGCAACATGCATGTGGCCGAACGGGTGGCAGCACGTGGTCCAAACTATTGGCCTATTTGTGCTCCCGCTTGCTTTAGCTCTTAACCCGAAGAGGCCCGCTCTCGACCCGCAGACCAAAAAGTGTTCCCGCTTGTTTTCGCGGGAATGCTTGCGGAGCATGTTGGGCTTCCGCCGATTTGGGGCGTCGTGGGCCGGGTTGGTAGGTTCATGGGCTCGCCTAGGTTATTTTGTTGCCACGTTGGGCCTTTGGGCTGTGTTGGGGTTCAGGGTGCCTTTTCGGGAGCGTCAGGGATCGTGCTGGGGCCATGTCGGAAGCATCATGGACCAACTCGGAGCCTATCATGCTATCTTGGCGGCCGGTTGCCCCTCTCTTGGTCTGCTTCGGAAGCCTCGGGGAGCCTGTAGAAGTTCTCTTGAGGACCTCTTGGAGCCATCTTGGAGAGTTTTACATCAGAGTGAGGGGGCCGAACGGTCATTCACTGTCCCTGGGTGCGTGGCTGAAGTGGAATTCCGCGGTGCGGATTCTCGTTGTTGTTGTTGTTGTTGTTGTTTGTTGTTGTTGTTTGTTGTTTGTTGTCGTCGTTCCACCCGCAACCAGTCCCGCGACCCACCGGCGACGCACCCCGCGACCCACCCCGCGACCCACCCGCGACCCACCCGCGACCCACCCGCGACCCACCCCGCGACCCACCCCGCGACCCACCCCGCGACCCACCCCGCGACCCACCCGCGACCCACCCGCGACCCACCCCGCGACCCACCCGCGCGACCAACCCGCGACCCACCCGCGACCCACCCGCGACCCACCCGCGACCCACCCGCGACCTACCCCGCGACCCACCCGCAACCCACCCTCGACCCAAACCACGTTCAAGGTACAAACTACCATTTTCGGCGCCTGCGGCGGGCTTTTTTTGCATTCCTTCCAAGTGGAGAGCCCGCGACCCACCCCGTGACCAACTCGCGACCAACCCGCGACCCAAACCACGTGCAGGGTACAAACTACATTTTTCGGCGCCTGCGGCGGGCATCTTTTGCATTCGTCTAGGTGGAGAGCCCGCGAGCCACCCGCGACAAGCTCAGGGGGACGTAAACATTTTTCGGCGCCTGCGGCGGGCATCTTTTGCATTCGTTTCAGGTGGAGAGCCCGCGGCCCACCCGCGACCACGTTCAGGGT